TATTATATATGGTATCGATTTTATATACTGTACAATATATATTTATTAAAAAGTAATGAAATATATTGCTTTACAATATCAAATGCTTATAGCCAATATTAAATTTTAATATATCAATGTCTTTTATTGTTGAAATAAATTGCAATATACCTATACAAAACCCTAGCTGTTATTATTAACGTCTCACTCTCTATGTTTTCCTTTAGTATATGACATTCTATTTTCTTCCGCTTTACGAATTACTTCTACTACTTTTCGGCTTACTTCAGTAACTCTTTTATTTACTTCTTTATACTCGCTAACTTTTTAATTTTCACTAGTTCTTCGACTTGGTTCTTCTTCTGCTCCTAGACTTGCTTCTTCTTCTTCTGCTCTTCACCTTACTTCTTCTTCTACTCTTTAGCTTATCTCTCCACGATTTACTTCAAACAATGCATCATTTCTTTGAACCTCATTTTCTCTTTGACTTTCTTTATAATACGCAGTCGATATAGTCCAATCGGGTGTATTATCTGGTAATTTTAAGCTGTCTTTGTACAAATTGTCATCATACCATCTCTTTCTTTGAACTTTGATATGCTGTATTTCGGAGCCAACAGCATCAGCACGACGAAGAATTTTTTTGATCTATAATAAAAGAAATATGAGTAAATTAAATATTTGATTCAATAAATACTTTTCTTACCCTTATAGATTGCCAAGGTTTGTCGTATACTTGAATTATATGTTTATCTTCCAGTGACTTATTTTTTAGCCTAATATGTTCGTTAATTTCCATTTGCGCCTTTTCATTATCTGTCTCTGACGCTTCATCAGAATGATACTTACCGTCATCAATTATTTCTTCTAAATCTTCCCTATATTTTTTTTCTGATAAGCTTTGAGGTTTTGAGGAGGTCAGAATATCATCATTGATATTGTACATGTGTATAATACCCCATTTTCTTCTTTCTTTTTTCTAATTATAAAATGAAATGATAAATAAAATAAAGACCTATCAGTAATCTGATTTATCTTAGTAGAAATAAAATATCTAAAATCAAACCAACTTCAGAATGTTTTGAATTAATTCCTTTTCGTTTTTTGTCTATTTTCAACTTCGTATTGTCTTGAGAATTTTTCCAATTGTCTCACCTGTGACGATGGAGTTGTTGCAAGATGAATTTAAGTTCCGTTTGATTGTAAACCATTCTTTTGTTTAATGTTTTGTCAATAGCTGGCATAATGTTTTTTGATACATGGTCGGATATATCATTCCACGTATTTTTATGGTCGAGAGACAAAGAACCATCAAGATCAGAGAGTATTTGTATGACTTCATCCTAAATTTATGAAATGGAAAGGTAATCAGTTCAGCATGTAGCAAATATATATGAATTTGAAAAGATTGGGATACCCTGAAACTCTTATATTGCTCTTTATTCATTTTTTCAAGTGATTTACGTGGCCTTTGATTATAACCGCCAAATGGTTCCAGTAATCGCGATTGTTATGATTGTCATTGCTATGATTGTTGTAAGAATTGCGCTTTTAAACTACGCACTTCTTCGATCAGAAAATCATGCATTGCTTTAATCGATGTGATCTCTATTATATATTATATATGATAAATAGATAAACTTAACAAAATTACTTTATATTACAAAATTCAACCAACACATTATACCAATTTTTTCTGAATTTTCACGTTTGCTGGAGCTCCTATCACATTCTGATCGATCGTATCAGTCGTAACTTCTGCTTCTATTACTCAAGCTGCTACAACTTAATCTATATCATTTATTCCTGTGATCACTACTTCGTTCACAGCTGCTTTATCTTGTGTAACTTCATTCACGGCTACTTCATTCACAGCTGTTTTATCTTGTGTAACTTCGTTCACAGCTACTTCGTTCACGGCTGTTTTGTCTCATGTAACTTTGTTCACGGCTGCTTCATTCGCAGCTGCTTTGTCTTATGTAACTTTATTCATGGCTGCTTCATTCGCAGTTGCTTTGTCTTGTATAACTTTGTTCACAGCTGCTTCGTTCGTGGCTGCTTTGTCTTGTGTAACTTATAACGCTTCTACTTCTCCTTGTGTAACTTCTACTTCTGTTTTTGCCGATTGAAATTTTATCATGTATTGTAATTCGAAAAGGCTTTCGGTTACTCATGTTATTAAAAATTAAAATAAAAATAAAAATTAAAGCGAAATAATGTGTTTTAACGAAAGAATTAAAAATGAAATAGAAACAATTAAAACAATTAAAAAAGAAATATATGGAACCGATATGCTTTAAAGAAAGTTAGATCTTTGTGAAAGAAAGACAAAAAACAAATATAATAGAAATCAGGTCTTTTTATACTTTATACCATATATTACAGAAACTTTCAAATAAACTTTATCATGACGCAGGCGCATCATATAAAATATACTATATTAATTATATTGATATGAATTGATCTAGTTTAATTATACTTTAATTGATGCATTTGATATTGATATTCGATACATTGATATTCAATACCATTGACATTTAATATTGATAACGTTGATCAATCGATTATATTATCAATTGATATAAATACAAGACATTTTTACTTGAAATAAATTTTGCTAAAATATTAATTACAATGTCATGTAAAATGAAAAAAACTTTTGTAACAGGTACACCCAAACCTTTGAAAAAAGTGCGTATTCCAGAATCATTGAAACCTTCTAAATCAAGTTCAAGGCAACATGTAACATACGATTGTAATATATGTAAAGGTAAAAAAGTCAATCCACGTACAAAAGAATCGCATACGAAAGAAAGAGAATTACCAGTAAGGAATGAACCTTCCAAAATGGTAGCCGGAAAAGGTGCAAGCTGAATAAATGTTCTGAATAGTCCTATGGATTTAGACGAGATAAATATTAGTAATAGTGAGAAAGAAGATGATGATTCCAGAAGGAAATAAAAGTTCAATTTTCTTGTTATGATGCTGAATAAACCTAAAAAGCAAAAACAATTAAGCAGTCATGGTGGTAATAAAAATATTAGTTATCCACTTGTTTTGATTGAGCAGATCTTAAATAGTGACGAAGACCAAAATATTGATGAATCTGATATTAGCGAAGACAATGATGACGAATTGGACAAATTGGGAGAAGACGATTCAGAACAACATGTCGATTTTGATGCTCTGGTGTATGATAATAAAAATGAAGGTGTTGAATCAGCAATACCAGATATCAATTCTGGTTTTACATGGATTATATACTGGATTTTCAAATTTCAAGAGAGATATCGGCTACCTAATACAACTGTCAATTCTCTTATAAAATTTATTAGATATATATTGGTCTTGATCGATGGAAATACATATTCAAAATTCCCAAAATCTTTGTATATGGCACGTAAAACATTCAGCATCAGCGATCAGTTAATTAAATATGCAACTTGTAAAAAATGTTGCAAATTATACGCAATAAAAGATTTGCCTACTGATAGACTGTATCACTGTGCATTCTAAGACTTTCCGAATCACCCGATGACCAATTTGCAATCTCCTTATAATGCTATTATTACAAAACAAGTTTCCACGAATCAAAGAGTAATGTATCGACCGTCACCCATTTTTCCAGTTGCTAATATTAAACGAAGATTGCAACAATTATATAATACTAAAGAATTCGAAGAATCATACCGAAAATGGACAATTCGTCCTAGTAACGATCAAGAATTAGCAGATATATTTGATGGAAGAATTTGGAAAACTTTCAAAGACCCAAATACAGATCTACTATTTTTCTGACGGGAAGTATCCGATAGTTATTTGGGAATTATGCTAAACTTTAATTGGTTTCACCTTTTGACAATTCCCAATATAGTGTAGGAGTAATATACGCAGTTATATGCAATCTTCCACAAAGCGAAAGGTTTAAAAATTCTAATGTAATTACTTTGGCAGTAATTCCCAGACCCAATGAGCCAAAATTACACAAATTGAATCATTATTTGGCTCTGGTAATTGATCAATTAATTGAATTATGGAATGGGATCGAGTTATCAACAACCTACAAAAGTTCTAACAGTAAACATATTCGAGCTGCAGTAATATGCTGCGCATGCGATATACCTGCCACAAGAAAACTTTGTGGCCATATATCTGCGCGCACAGCTTGCCATAGATGCCAAAAAGTAGCAGATTTTACTATTAGAAATCAGCCAAACTTTAGCAGCTTTAATGATATGGAACAATGGTTTGTGTCGAGAAACGTCGAAGAAATAAGAAATAATGCAAGATTATGGAAAGAATGTAATACTAAAGATGCATGAAGAAGGCACGTATCTGAGACTCTGATACAGTGGTCAGAAATATACCGGTTACCATACTTCGATTCCGTTCAATTCATTATTGTAGATCCTATGCATTGCCTATTTTTAGGCATTACTAAATGGATCATTACCCGTTGTGGATTAAGGAAGGATGCTTAACACCAAAACATTTAACAATTATGCAGGAACGAGCCAATAGGATAAAATTGCCATCAGACATTAGCAGAATTCCAAGTAAAATATCAACAGGTGAAGGTTTTTCTAACTTTACGGCTGATCAATGGAAAACTTTCATCCTCGTGTATGCTACTTCTATTACTTGCGATATACTTAAAGATGATGATAGAAAATATTTTTATTTTGTACAAGCATGCAATATTCTTGTATATCGTATTATTTCAAAATCTGGGTTAGAAAAGATGCATCAATGTCTTTTATCTATGGTAAAGCTAATTGAAAGGAGTTACAGACCAGAAAAGATAACACCAAATATGTATTTATGTTTGCATATATGTGAATGCGCATTTGACTATAGTCCATTATATGCATTTTGGTGTTATAATTTTGAACGAATGAATGGCCTATTGGGTAATATAATATGATCTGACATTATTATTCTTATAATATTTTCCGTTATCTAACTGGAATTTTTTTACAGGCTCTTTACATAGTAGTAATCGGCATATAGAACTAGAATTACTTAAAATTGTTTAACGTTATACTTTTCTCGATGAGCTATCGACATATGTAAATAATAATCAACACCTTTCGAAATGCTTGTCATAGATCACTTCTAGAAAAATGGTTGGTAGTTTTGCTGTTCATGATGACGATTTTGATTTGAAGAAATATTTCAAATTTTTATCGATGTCAAAGGATGTGAAAAAAAAGGCTGGAGCAGGCTCCAAAGCCTTTCCAGAAGCATTACTTAAACTAATGAAAGAAGCAAATTTATCATCAAAATTATTAAATTTATTAGTAGAATATTACCGTAACACATATGAAGATTTTTCATTCAAAACCTTATCAAATATTCATAATGCATCTTTAGAATCAATTGTAGTTTTTTCAAAAATCAACCAATTTGGTAGATTGAAAATCAGAGCTGAAGTCATTGGGTCAACATTTTCAGCAAGGCATATCAGATCGGCAAATATATTATCACAATTCATTTTAGATAACAATACAACTGATACCTTTTCTGGTCAAGTTCAATTCTTTTTTGAACATAAGATATAATTGCCGGAAGATGAAACAACACATACTTTAGCATTCATAAAATGGTATAAACAAGCAGAAGATAATAGAAGCCGATTTTATTGTCAAATCGATAAGGATAATTTAAATATTTGTAATATCGAATTGTGGAGAAAAGAATTTTATTAATTAGGACGTGATTGTATTATACCTATACATAATATTCTAGGATGATTTGTTGCCAGAACTATGAAAATTGGTAAAAAAAATCCAAAAGAATATTTGACTGTAATTCCTATCAATAGAAAAATTCACATATAAAATTTTAAAGCTTAATGAATAAATTATTCAACTAATTACTTTTTCGCATCTTTAAATATTTTAAATGTATATATTAGCATGCCGATAGGTCAATATTTGAATATCGGATTTTATATTTTATTGATGTTTCTTGATATGCCATTATAAATATCAAATAAATATAATATAATTATCGTATAATTATCAATGTCAAATAGGTTTACTAATGAGTTTAATAAATTTTCAAATATTTTAATGGTAAGTCTTTAAAAATTGAATCAAAATCAATAAAAGTATCACTGCCATATCAGGTATCAATGTGTATGATTCTTAATATGATCGGCTAGTGACATATCAGATTTGATATTTATCTGATATCTAACTGATATATTATTACCTAATATGCCATCATTCGACCTGTGATTGTTCTTGAATGATAAAACTATCATTCTTAAACGATAAAATCATCATTCTTGAATAATAAAATCATCATTTTTGAATGATAAAACTATCATTTTTAAATGATAAATCATCATTCTCAAGCGATAATGAATCATTTTAATCAAATAATAAAAAATCATTCTTGAACAATAAATCATCATTTTTGAATAATAACGAATCATTTAATTGAATAATAAAACTATCATTTTTAAACGATAAATCATCATTCTCAAACAATAATAAATCGTTCTAATTGAACAATAAAATTATTATTTTTAAACAATAAATTATCATTCTAATTGAACGATAAAACATTATTCTTGAATAATAATAAATATTCTAATTGAATGATAAAATATCATTCTCAAATGATAAAACTATCATTCTTGAATAATAAAATCATCATTCTTGAACAATAAAACATTATTCTTAAATGATAAAACTATCATTCTCAAATGATAAATCATCATTTTTGAATGATAAAACTATCATTCTTAAATGATAATGAGATCATTCTAATTGAACGATAAAACATTATCCTTGAACAATAAAACATCATTCTTGAATAATAAAACTATCATTCTCAGATAATAAAATCATTATTTTTAGATAATAATGAATAATTCTAATTGAATGATAAAACTATTATTCTTAGACAATAAAAACATCATTCTCAGATAATAAAATATCATTTTCAGATGATAAAACATCATTCTAATTAAACGATAAAACATCATTCAAAAATGATGATTGATTAACCTGAAATTTGTCAGGTCAAATCAGGTCAATTCGACCTGTTGATCTGACTTTATATTAACCTAAAAATCTACTAACCTGACCTGAATTTTCAGATCAGGTAAACAGGTCGATCTGATCTGATTCAGAGCTTTAGTTTCCTGATTGTCTTTTTGAGATAAGTAATTTATGTAATCTGAAGTATATTGTATTGTTATAGAAATATCAATATTATCATTTTTTAATATATTGACTTTATTATTAAATTCTTTTGATGTTAAAATCTCTTTATTATGTTCAATTATAATATTAAGTCTATTAATTTCAATTGTTAAATCAGTAGGTTAAATCATACCAAAATATTCTGCTAATTCATAAGTTAAATGACAAAATAGTTGAATAGTTTTTAATATTTTATCATCAGATAGTTATAATCTCAACTTTTCTAATGAACTTTCATCCAAATCATTAGTGTAATAATCAAAATAGTATTCTTAAAAAAAAATAATTGTTTATAATAAAAATTATATAAGTAATAATAATTATATTATCAAATACCTTATTGTATAATTTTTTAAAGCTTTTGAATATTGCATAATTTTAGGAAGCATTTGTATAATTTTAGTAAAGTCAAAATTAGGATTTATTTATCAAGCTATTTCAAAAAAATGTTTACATGATTTTATACCATGAAGCTAAAGTAGTAAAGGTATACATGAATAATATTCATAATGAGCTTTTATTAATAATATCATTGATTCTTCCAAAGATGATAAAATAACAAAAGTTTGATCTGTAAGGAAATTTTGATAAATATTAATAAAATCAGGATACTTTTTGGCTAGTGTCTTTATATGAAACCACCATAAATGCAAGAAAAATAACTAGTTATTACTATATAAATTCTTTTAATTAGAGTAATATTTCTATTAAGATAACTAATAATAATTTCACCTATTAAAAAAATAATCATTTTAATAAATTTAATAAATCAAATATAAATATTAAATTAATTTAATTTTAATTAAATAATAAATAATTACCTATTATAAATTGATAAATAAAGAATCCTTTTATATCTAGTTATATTTTAGTATTATTATTTATATATTACTTTAAATTTTTTGAGCAAAAAGTTCTATATATTGCAACATCATCTTGATGATCCAGTTTATGATATCATTTTTATACATAACAGAATCATGATAATTAATTAGTTGAAAAAAATTAAAATATTGAATTGATGTTATATCAAATGTTAAGAGATGAGCACCAGATATTGCTGTATTTCTTGCTATCTTCTTTGCATATTTAGGATCCTGAACACAAATTATTGGACCAATTTGCTTAAAAATTAGATATAAAAAATGAATATTTAAATTATTCTCATATATTGAAAGCTATTCTGTAGTATATGCATCAAGTATTTATTGCTGAAATTGAAACTCTACAATAGTTCTATCTGATCTAAATGATAAAATATATATTTTAAATCATAGTGCTATTTCTTTAAGAAGGATA